GCTAGCCAAGGCTGAAGTTTTTGTATTGGAGTAGAAACAGGTCACTATAATTTGATGGGTGTAATAGTACTGTTTGTGTTTAAATAGTGCTGTTTGTATCTGCATCTGCCGCATAGAATGTGTTGAATTTGGAGAAGAGCTAGATTGCTGACTAGTAATGACTCAATTGGTGATCACGCTGCATACAGGAGAACAGAGATGATAGCATCAGAAACATTGAGTGTTAAGGTCTGGTGGTTCACTGCAGAGGTAGCCATGGAGAGGATGACTGTTGCCATGATTATATAAATCCATTGGGATTTCCTTTCCTGATGATTGGAAAGAGGGGTTGGTAGGGAGTATCTTGAGGTACAAGAAAAAAAATGTAGCTCTAATTTCAGGCAGGCTGGGTCACTACAAGGTAGTGGAAATTGTAATTTTGTATGAAAAGGAGATGAACTGCACAGATGGCATCTTGGAAAAGGGAATCATCACTAGACCTGCCTCAATTTTGTAACATTTTTTTGTCTTGTTTTATAATATTCTGTTACATTGCATTGCTCTGGCTTTTGGTTATTATGCAGAAAAAAAGAAGCCCTGAGGTGTCTGAAGTAACAAATAGCATATAGTTAAGGGCACTAAAGAAAACAGTGGCTGGAAGGGTTGAAAAAATTCATAATTCATGAATCAAACCCAGAGTGTATAGAGACTAAATTATGTTATGTAGTTGATTAATAATTTAGGTCATGAACTGTCTTCTAAAAGTTTTGAAGTAGGCCAGTAGGTATGGAGGCTGTGTATGAGCAGGGATGTACATTTCTGTGTCCAGTGTTGTCAGATTTGCAGGAGCAAGCATGCATTTGATGTTAACCATGCCAGGCCTTTGTGACCTAACATGTCCCAAGAGTCAGGAGAGAGAAATTGATAGACTTTAAAATGGAAGAACCTTGGGGCCTAAAATGTCTTTTAAAATTTAAATAGCAGTTAAAAATATGAATTAAAAAAATATTCACAAGCTATTCTCTGAGACGCTTGTGCATAATACGCTTAATGTTACATGTGTTTGATTGCTAAGTGTGGGCTTGGTGGCGGTGAGGGCAGTAAGAAATATTTTCACTAGAGCCTGCTAAAACCTTCTTCCCTTCTGTTTTGCTGTACGCTGACACATATGAGTGCAAGAGGGGACAGGGGAAAGGTAGATTCCTTGGAAAATTCTTTTCAGAAATAGTAAGTACATGTAGTTGAAAAGCTGGCTTTTCCATAGTGCTATAGATGTTGTCCTTGGTGGTTTAAGACTTTTCATAATTGAGCAGCTATGGTACAAAAATGTGGTATCCTAAGAATTTTTTATATAAAATTAACCAAGTGCTACTCCAAAAATTGTGAGAAGGTTCCCTACTTAAAATACACTGATGCCCCCTTTTAACTGGAGCAAAGTGTGCTTTTTAATTACCTTCATTCTCAAGATAATACTGACTTGGGACTTCTGTGTCAGTGACACTTGCAGTTTCTTGGGCTTGAGCTTATGTACTTGGCATGTACGTGCACACAGCCCCCCATTCTTGTTTCTAAATACACGCGCGCTTCTTTTTTCTGTTGCATTCATGAAACCTTCCTTCTACTGCCAAAGGAATGTCAGTGACTCTTTAATCTTTTCAATGTGTTGTTCATAATATTACAATCCGTAAATATTTTGTAAAATATTTTACAGAAGTTATCAATACTGAATTGTACAAATATCTGATGATACTGGCTAATCTTTCTGTATCTTCTTTTAAGTTCTTATTCACACCTGTTTAATGAGTATTTTCTACAGTTCATTTAGCTTTTGGGGTTTGACATTCTTTGGCTTGTATCACATCTTGAAAAAAGTAACCCATCAGTGCTTGCCACAGCTTCATGGAATGTTCTCATTTCCCATGCTCTGTAACAGGGTACAGTTTTTTTGAAAAGTCTCATTTTCAAATATGATTGTACAGTTGAAAAAGTTGAAAGATTTTGTATAACTTTGTTGTTGGCTGTAATGCATTAAGAATGCATTTTGACTGGAAGTCTCTGAATTCAATTAGTTCTGAAATGTGATTGCAAAAAGATTTTATTGCATCACATACAGACATTTGTGGTAAGGCTTTTTTTCTGTCCTTGCATCACTCTTCAGCATTATATAATGAGATTTTTTTTTTCCCCTTCCAGCCATTAAGATGACTGTACAGAAGTTTTGCGGGTTTTTTTTTCCAAAACTAATATTCACCCTCTCAAAAGCAAATTAAAATGTTAAACCCAAGCCTAATCTATTTGATATGAGTAAAGATTTTGGAGAAGTGGATGGTGTTAACTTGAGTTTGTCAAAGTATTTCAGTGAAATGCAGGAGAGGTGATTTCTAGAGTGGTGTCTGGAGTTACCACGTTTGAAGGATGAGAAGCTGAAAGGGTATCAGTCTATTCCTATACGCTGTTGTTAATTCCGTGGCATGATGAGGTACATCATCTTTTTGAACTTCCCTTGAAATTGCTTTCCTTATGTCTGCACCTCAGCTGCGCTTTTTAAACAGTGACTTGATTGCGTCTTCCCATTCTCGCTGTCATTTTTTTTATTTTTTACCCATCTGGGGTTTCAAAGGCTTTCTCTCTTCGGGCATCGTCCGTTACATCGCAGTGTAGCAAAGAGCATACAGCATTAGCTAACCTGTCGACGGGCTCGTGGTTTCGCTTTGGGGACAGCTGCTTGGCTGCAGAGACAAAGCCTAGGGCACATTTCAGATACTTAAGAACACGTTCGTAGGTTCTCAAAAGCCATTTCTGTGCTGGTTTTCTTCATCTTTTCTGTTTCGCTTGGAAACTTTCTTGACTTTTAACTGCTGGGGATGTTGTATATTGCAGGTGAAGCTGATGCATACCTTGTATCAAGTTAGTAGTTTCTGTTACTAGTAATGGGGTGTTACTTGCATGTGTTGCTGTGCTGATAGAAGCTTCCAGTCTTCCTTGAACAGGACTTGGTAGGAAACAATTTTTAAAGGTAATTTTCTTTACTCGGATACCGTAGCGTTATTTTTTATGTGGCCAAACCAATTTTTGCAGTGTGTTCTTCCATTGCCTCCACTGATGCTCATACTTCCATGATGTTACCGTCGTTACATCTGTATTCCATAACGCCTAAGCTTTTCTGAGCCCAGCCTGTCCATCATGCAAGCACGTTGACTTGATTTCCAACTCCTTTATCCTTAAACTGATCTAATTTTTTTTTCATCATCCACATGGATATTCAAGTATGGCCACATTGTCCCAAATATGTTGGTCTTTTCCTTGAGATTACTATGCTTTTGCTTAATTGAATAATCTTTATGCAAATAGAGAAAATTCCTGTTGAATTGGGTACTTCATGGATCTGCAGTGGAATATGCTACTTCGAGCAGTATCCTTGAAATAGCAGGAACAACAGGAAGTGAAATTCATGTATTGAAGAGTTTTGAGCGGAAGCTATAGCTTTTAAAAGCAGTTATTGAGGGGATGATCGGACCCGTCGGCCTATGAGTATCTGGAAGAGAGCTGGCTGTGACACGTGTAGAGCACAGGCTGTTGCTGTTCCACGTGGCTTCGCGGTGACACGCGAAGGGAGCGGTACGGACGGGGCTGCAAGCTTCCGCGGGAGCGTGCGGGAAATGGAGGCGCCGTGCTCGGCGCGGCCGGAGCGCGCCCTTCGGGCCGGCTCTTCCGGGGCAGAGGCGCCGTCGGGCGGAAGGGAGCAGTTCCC